ATCAAAGGGAAACATTGCTCAGGAATGAATGACTTTAGCTTATGTGTAATAATTGAAGACATGCAGTGAGTTTGCATAGATGTGTTTGTCTTCTTCCATGAATATTTTTATTCAACTACTTCTGGGATCATACAAGGGCTTAATTTCATTATCTGAGCTCTATCGGATACTTTCCTAAACTTGCCAATTGGCAATTTTTAATTAAGTCCTTGAAAGACTTGTTTATTTGAGCAAGGTATTGCACAAACCTAGCAGTACTTTGAAAAAACTATTTCTGTCAGATGTAAATGTATGGCATTTATATATTTAGTATGGCCACTAAATAAGTAGTTTTAATATTTTGAACTAAAATAATGTATAAGAATAAGTATCTGTGATGTTTCAAAGCCAGCTAATAAACTTAATTACTAGAAATGTTTTCTTTTGTCAAAAAATTTTGTACTTATTATAAGTAAAATTATTCTTGTTTTAAGTAGTTTTTTTCTTATTTGTAACATTCTAGGTAAGAATTGTGTGAGTAGGTTCCTTAATATACAATAATAATTTTGCTTATTTCAAGCAATGTGTTACTTAAAACGAGTATTTTTTCTTTAGAAAATTCTTGTTGCAAGAATTGTTTTTCTTAAAATGAGATTCCAGGTAAGAATAATATTCTTGCCTGGATTCTTGCCAAGAATAATATTCTTACTATACTGACAAGAACAATTTTACTTGTTTGTATTTTTTTTTTAAAATAAGACTCACGATTTTGCTGTGTGCATGTATTATATGGATTTGGCTTGATTTACATGAAATTAGGTTATAAATTATACAGGGACTGAAAAGCGTAAACATGCAGTGCTTCCACTTTCAACTCTAGGCCTTTATGTAATGTGATTTATTTACGCATAGATATATTGCCAGGCATGAATTTTGCATACCCTTTCCGCAGCTCAGTTTTCTGAGCATCAATAATGACACATTAAATTTTACGCCGTTTTGGGATAATTTTGGCTAGGAGTAATGGTTTTCGTAGCCGCTTTATTTCTGTTAAACAAAACGATATTTATTAATACATTGCATTAAAATTCCAAATAGTTACTCTCAGAAAAGGGTGGAGGCAAATTACTGCCAGCACCTGTAGATACGGCCTACGACCATCACTAATTGAGATATAACGTTCCTCTCTCTGTATATATCAGCTACGGTAAATCGTCCAATGTACATAATTGTTAGCGGAGGCTTTGGGGAGGAGGTGGGTTCAACTTTAAAGGAGATCTGTCTTTCGCGATGTCACGCTTAAACTGACCGTTTATGGTTTGGGTATTCGGTCTTTGTTAGTTTTCGATTTGCTGCTGGCCATTGACCACCTTTCCCATTTGCGTGCCATCCATTACCTGTCGGTCTTTTAGATAGGACGCAAAGCCCATAATATAAGATTTTTAATTATCGTCGGCAAGGCGTATCCCCTTGGGGGTACACCTTGCCTTAATAGTCTATTTATAAAATCACATTACATAAATTTCTTATTTCCTTCGTAAATATTTTGTTTTATGTAATGTGATTTATTTACGCATAGATATATTGCCAGGCATGAATTTTGCATACTCTTTCCGCAGCTCAGTTTTCTGAGCATCAATAATGACACATTAAATTTTACGCCGTTTTGGGATAATTTTGGCTAGGAGTAATGGTTCTCCTAGCCGCTTTATTTGTGTTAAACAAAAGATATTTATTAATACATTGCATTAAAATTCCAAATAGTTACGCTCACACTGTTATTTTCAGGGTGTTATTTTAACACCACTTTTAAGGGATTCTAGAGGGATAATGGAGGGGTTAAAAATTTTACCTTATTTAACTCCATTTTTGGGGTTAAAATAACACCCTTTAAGGGATTACTGGTTCGCTTGCTACACATCATTGGAAGTAACACCACGTTCTTCCATGTTTAACTCTGTCTTGACTCTCGAGGCCTTGGGAGGAAGGTTTAGAGGAAATATTACTTCTGCCATATATTTTTAGATATATAACAATATAAAATGGATGGAAAATAACTAACAAGGAACATTTCGAAGGTTAGTTAACGTACCTCAGTAAAGAGTTGTTATGCTCTCCAATTTCAACAGATCGATCGATCATATCGCCGTTGAATTTCAATCTCTACTCCTATAAAAATGATACCGTCTTCCTGGAAAGAGGCATTGCAGGCTGGTAAATACTCAATCTTCTATATATTTATCATTTAATAGAATCAAAGAATCAAACTTTATTATTGTCCCCGTGAATGAGAACATACTGTGCTAATATATTTTTTATTCATCAAAAAGACGCAATAAAAAGTTATATAATTTATATAAAAATGCAATAAAATGTTATCCACTGTTTAAGCTAAACGCCTTTCGGACAACCGCCCCCAGAAGTTGATATAATGCAGTAAATTGTATTGAATAATTGTATTGAGGAATTATGAGGACTTTGAAATACAGTGCAAATAAAAAAGTGAATGCCTTTCATTTGAATGCCTTAAATTTGCCAAATTACATTGTGAGAAATATAATTTTTTTCTAACTTATAACTTTTTATAGCACCTGCCAGTATACACTCTTTTAAATGAATAAATAAATAACTGAGTTTTACTAATTTACCATATTCTATTTGATCAGTTTATTGACAGAATAATGAAATAATTTTTTTTTAAATCAGAAAAAATGCACCAGTGAAAAATGTGGCAACCAATTGCTATGGCAATGTATATTTAACAGCGATTCTGTGTATCATTCAACTATTATACATTTATACACTGTATGTACACATAAATGGTTATGTGAATGAGCTGACCAAAAACTGCTATATGCATTATATCATAATTGGGATTATTAATGTTGCAACTGTTGTTCATCTTTAGGTTACTTATAGATCTACTACTTTGACAAAAGCTACTTTGCTTTCTTTTTAACAGGCGGTTGTCAGCATTATATCAGATAGATCCGTGTAGGCTTTATATTATATACAGACTTTAAACAATCATTATATCTTTATATTATTTTATTATATATTATTATATATATTATTATATATATATATATATATATATCTTATGTACTTGGACTTGTGTTTTATCAAATATAAAATGCTCAAGTGCACCTTGTGTTTTAATATGATAAACACTCCTTTGCATGTTTTAATATTTCTAAATGTATAGACCTTTATGTGGTGAATCATTTTAGATTAGGCCTAGAAAGGGTTTTTGGCTATTCTCTTCCTCTGTCCTTTTTGGACAGAGGAGGAGTAACAATTTAGAGTTGATGTTCGCGGGCATAAATGTGTTTTCGGCCCTACTTTGGACTCATTTTAGCCCTAGCGTAACAAGGGTTAAGATGTGTTCTGAGGAGTGCCAAAAACACATTTATACCCAAGAACATCAACTGTATACTATTATATTAACTTTAAGGGCAATATTTGAAAAAAAAACTATGCAATGGGTAAATACTTCAGTTATTCTTCTCATTGGCTCAGATCAGACTTGAATTTATCATTTTAGCCTGCAAAATACACTGCAATTCTCGCCACAGTTATTATAATTGTTAACTTTCATTATGATGATGGTAACAATGCATCATAAATACTGATGATTCTCTATATGCGTGTAACAGTAATAGAGACAACTTGTATGTGTGTCTAAGATACTTCCCTCAATATAATTTATTTGAAGTATAGAGAAATTAATATTTCACACACAATCAAGAAAAGAACAGAGTATGTAAAATCAGTATAAGGTTGTCACACACATGGTAAGGAATCAGCCTAAACATTTTGGTCATTTCTACTGTACAGGTGGCCAATTATGTAGTGATGGGTAAATATTTTTTGACAAATCTAATCAATGTTTTCTTTAATTATTTGTACCAAGATCAAATCTTGTGCAGACATATCTGGCACCAACACGTCGACCATATGGCCTAGTAAGTTGCTTTGGGATATAGCAAGTGAACTCTTTCTGCTCCTTAATTTGCAACTGGTCATCATCTGTAAGGTTAACCTCGTAAGCCTGGAAATGGCTATCAAAACAGACGGTAACTAATGGCAGCATCACAAACTGGATTGCTGAAAGATTCTTGGCAATGACGAAAATTTTGATGATTTTCCAGAACCTTGGCATATCATCCTCATCATAACCACTATGTATAATCGCATTGCGTTTATATTTGGTTCCTCCAATAACAACCCATTTTGCGCTGAGAAGGAAATGCAAAGGGAATAACTTTGACTGGCACTTTGACTAGGTTTTTGTGAGTATTCTAACGGTAATTAAACCCTAGTACAGCGGAACATAGTGCGTGAAAATAAACTATAAATCTGCTGTATGAGACAAGAAATTAAGCATCACGAGAATTAATCATGATGAGAATACTTACTCAAATACAGATGTGAGGACATTCATTTCTAAGTGGTATGACTGCTCGAGTAAATGAAATTGTTCCAATCTTCCAGCTACAGTTTCCGCTCCTATGGAAGTTACGTTAATGAAAAATATTTTAATTAATTAGGTAGTACTAGTAGCTATATTGTTAATAATTTCAAAGAGATACATATAAAATAATTTGGTTGTGTTTTTCTTACCGGGTCCAATCTCACTGCCTTTTTCAAGGAAAGTCGAATGGCTGCCTTCTGGTGTGTGTATCCGGTAGCATAGGCCTTCTTGGTGTCGTTTCGCCAACGAGTACGGCAGGTTGATGAAATTGCCACAGGAAACCGCCAGCCGTTTAAAATATGAATGTTTCGCCTCGTATCGCATACACCAAATTCTGATCAGTGGTTCCAAACTGCAATAGTGATATGAAATGAAATTGTATGCTTAATGAATGGCGAGAACACGGAATTTGAGAAAACTAGCTTGGTTGGAAAGCATTTGATTTATGTGCTCTTGGCTGCATTCGACTTTGCACATTTTTTTCCTATGCCTATGGACGTAAACGAACATAAAAGTCTTATATACGTGTTTTTTATATATTTTTTGCTTACCGTAACATTGTTCTTGGCATGTGGATCATATAATGCATTTTTGGGATGACAGAGGCGTGTGGATACAAAGCTTTAAATCCTTCGTGATGGTTCTGGATCAGAATTTGCAGGTATGGTATTTGCTGCTTGCTGATCAACGGCGAGAAGACAATGCGCACAATTTCAAGTAGTGTGCAGTATGCACTCCAGTGATCGTCATCTTTTGTAAGAAATTCGCCAATCAACAGTGGCAAAAACAGGCCCAAGCACCACATCTCATTTGCTGTAATATAAAAGGTGAAGTACATAAGAGAACATATGGACTGACTTAATTAACCCTCCTGGGCGCGTCCTATGTGTGACTTAATATTAATTTAGTGTGGCTTTTAGGGAACCTTGGCTAGGACGAAATATGACATACAGAGTGCAAATCCAATATTCATAAAACCATGTTTGCATACTTTAGCACTTAACGAGTACGCACGTAAAAATATCACATCTTGTTGCAAGTCTATTCACAAGCTTGCTTGTCTCAAGCTTTTGAGAGACGGGACAACCTGTTAACAAGCAGTAACAAACTTAATTGCATGTTGAATCACGACACTTGTGTAACATCGCTGTTTAAGCACTGAGTTCGTACAAACAACAATATTGAATATTGCTACAATATTGTGCTATCACGTTTGTAGCAATGTAATTATATAACATATCTGTATCATACTCGTCAAATGATTGAAATGCTTATTTGCATGCACTACTTAATTATGCGAATCATAGCGTTTGCACCATTTTGATACCTCAGTGTTTGATACACGCTGTAATCGTTTAGCGACATAAATTATGTAAATCATGTGACTACTTCGCCATTAAACGTCAGCATTGAGACATCAGCATCACAGCATGGCAGCTCGCGCCTTTGTACACTTTGTTTTTTTTGTTTCTTTTCATGTATGAAATTTTATATTGTAACACCATTATGTTAAGGATATGAGTTGAAATACTATCATGCGTACTTCTGAAATTATAACGTCGCTGGGCTGGAATAAAGGACACGCTGAGATGACGTGGTCAGTCTTACCATGTTGTTTGAGACTATGGTCTTCTGAAGTGAGTTTTGTCCTCAAAATTGGCGCAGGTTTGTTCGAGTCATTGTGATACCTGAAATGTTCAAATTTTCATGTTGAAGCTTATTTTTTTAAGAAATTTACAGTTTCACAGGCCAGGTCACGAATCCCAATATAAAAAGAAACATCAAACATATATTCGCTGACGTCAATCGGCAACATAATTTGTTTATGACATAAATGACGGGGTGTCCCAGATTGTTAAATATTACTAAAGTCAGATTTTTATTCTGAGCCAGATTTACAAAGTTAGTTCACTTGGTTAGTTACACTTCGGAGTACACATATCGAGGTGGTTATAAAGCTACGAAATTTATCATCTTGAATTTTCCGTTTTATACATAATTATCGTGCGTAATTTTTCGTGTATTTTAGCACGTGTTCCCGCCTTGTAACAAGCCTACACGCAGTATGGGAAACAGAAAACACGTCGACTCGACTATCATCCATTAGAAATATATTATACAAGGTAGGAAAAGTCAAAAATATATATCAAGCACATATATGCACCAATTGCAAATGTTTTAATAATGTTCAGCTTTGCGTAAACCTTCCTTGAATATAAGAGACAGATATTTAATATGAGACCACACGGAAATTTTAATGTTATAAACTAATGTAACAAAATTGAGCAACAATAGTTACACTATGGCGCGCTTGAGACTCGATTTTAGAACATTCGTTCAACTCTCTTCAATTTATGTACATAATTTGCCAAGTTCTCAACTTGAATTTCATTGTAAATTCAACATATTTTGTTTGGACAAAGTCATGCATAAATTTGTATTTACTGACTGTTTAATGACTAATAACAATCGTGTATTTTGACGTTATTTGTATATTAACTGAGTGTCCAAATTTTGTTTGTGTCATCACAACTACTTAACCCTTTGAAGTCATGACTGTGAAGAAGTTGTAAACCACCACTTAGTGCTCAATCAGAAAACTTCCAAGACACCTTTAGACACATTTTGATTTTTACCATGATCTGTGGAAATCATGCATAATTGTAAAACCAATATATTTGTTTTACCTACCCATAATCAAAGGAAGTTATTCTCTTATTAAGTTCATCCAAGGTGAATGTTTTCTGCTCCAGAATGCAGAACTTCAGTAGCTCTTTTGTATGATATTGCAGTACTCCTTCTAGGACATCATGCATGGCATCGGCAGGTAGTCCACCTACTACATGGTAATACCTTGAGTTGTTCAAAGGAGACCTCCTATTCAAGCCATATGCAGTACTGAAATAATCAGCACGAGTAAGATGTCTGCAGTGAACTTCATAGCCATCCCTTGTTCGTAATGTGAATTCTGATTCATGAAACTACAAATTTAGGTATTAAAGATATATTGAGCACTATTAATGAGCACTGTTAATATTTTGCTTATATGCAGTTTACACTGTATAAAGTAAAATTTTGCTTCATAAGTTGAGTTTTCATGCGAATTTAATTTTTGGGAGGTTTATTCAACCCACCATAATTGTTTTGGTTGTGAATAAGGGGGGAAGGGTGTTTCAGTTATAAAAAAGTTAAATGAACTATTTGCCAATTTCAGTGGGTGTCTATATTAATTAAACTTTACCTTAGTTTGAATTTTTTCTGCAAGTCCCATGCACTCTCTGCATTTCCGATGGGCTTGAGATCCTTCCTTAAACCCCCCCAATAGTTGAGATCCAAGGTTATCTCCTGAGGCATATGCAATAGTTCCCCTGAAGATCCTCTTTTCACCGTGTACTTCAAATTCAAAACCAGTATCCTTAATGAATTTAGAGATAAAATAAGCTAAATTATATCATTATGCATCAGTATATATACTTGTCAAACTTCATTATAATTGCAGGTTCCCAGAAGCATATATGCTACCTCCTCAAGCTGTTTAATAAGGACTTTAAGATTCCATGACAACGGACTACTGACAACGCGTTTTTATGCGCGACCGAACATATGACGGACTGGGCCGACTACTTAAAAAAGCGCGCGAAGTCGGAAATTTTTAGCAATTAAGATTTCGACTACGAACAAGGGAGAATACGTACTTATATTTTGTTTAATTCTTTATATACAACCTGAGGACAATTATAAGTTTGTTGTGATGTCCTTCCAAGAGGTTAGGACGGCTCTGGTGTTAGGTTATGACGCTGGTCAGTTAAATGACGAAGAGTTTGTGCTTCTCTACGATGCATATAAATCAAAAAATCGTGCTTACCCTTACTGGGAATTTGATGATTTTTCGATGAAAGAGTACGATTTCAATGAGTTTGAAGCCATGTTTAGGGTTAGGAAAGACGACATCCCTATTCTTGCAGACGCTTTACGAGTTCCAGAGACGTTTAAGTGTCGCCAAGGAACAATTTGTGATGGCATTGAAGGGTTATGCATATTGTTAAAAAGGTATAAACATAATATTGAATATTATTATTTATATTATATTCGTATTCATATTTTGTCTAATATTTAATTGAGTTGGGCAACACATATTTTTGTATTATTTTTTATGTATCTAAAACACAATTTACATTTCTATAAAATTATAATGTGGTTAATGTAGTTGATATATAATTTTATAAATATATTTTATTATTGAAAGTTAACTATTAGGGCCCTACTTAATTATTTTCCTCTTTCGTGCATAAGACTGCATTTCTCAAGGTCATGTTAATGTATACAGAAGCTCCCTTGTCCTGCAAAATTAATATGGTCGTATTCATAAGTTGAATTTTTATATTTGTATTTCATTTGCTTCAGATTGGCATATCCTTGTCGTTATGTTGACATGATGAGCACATTTGCAAGGCCAGTGCCTGAGCTATGCATGATCTTCAATACAGTACTCGACTGGATTTATAATGTTCATGGTTTTCGCCTTACATCATGGAACCAAAGTTTTTTAACTCCTGTAGCACTTAAACAATATTCAAATGCAATAAGACAACAAGGTAGCCCATTAAGCAATTGTTTTGGGTTCGTTGATGGTACAGTCCGTCAAATATGCAGTCCTGGCAAGATGCAACGTGTAGTGTACAATGGACATAAGCGTGTGCATGCCCTTAAATTTCAATCAGTTGCTCTGCCAAATGGTCTTATAGCCAACCTATTTGGTCCTGTTGAGGGTCGTCGCCATGATGCTGGAATGTTGAAAGATTCTGGCTTACTTGGTTCTCTCGAGCTATATGCCCATGATCCAGAGGGGCAACTCCTTTGCTTGTATGGAGACCCAGCTTATCCGCTCAGACCACAATTAATGGCCCCATATCGTGTTGGTGATGTGCGAGTACTGACAGACGATATGAAAGCATTTAATCGAGCAATGAGTTCCCTACGTGTATCTGTTGAATGGCTATTTGGTGATGTTTCGAATAGTTTTAAATTCATTGATTTCAAGAAGAATTTAAAGTTACGACTTAGTGCAGTTGGCAAATTTTATGTAGTTGCAGCATTGATGCGAAATATTTTGACATGTCTGTATGGGAATACTACTTCCAAGTATTTTCAAATTGATCCACCATCCATTTATTCATACTTAGGGTGGAATCATTAGGTATCCTTGATGTAGGAGGTATCAAAAATGAACCAATCAGTCTGAATCAGATGGATTGTGTTATAATAAACATGTAACTCACATTCCAGAATATTAAAATAAAGCAAAAGACACCAGATAAATTATGAGAAAATGTATAGCTTATATGGCAAGCAAGCCAGCACCCAGATAAATGATGATAAACAAGGTATACCTTCTTTATTTTCTCATAATACATCTGGTAATATGTAATTGCTAAATATGGAAATTATCTTGTCAGTTTTACCTTTAAAAACAGGCAAAAAGAAAAGCATTAACAATTAACTTTAACTCACAGAACACAATGTTATTAATGTTACTTTGAAAGTTTCTCAATCACAGCAATAAATAAATTTTGTGTATTTTTTTGAGATTCCATCATCTGCTGTAATTGCAGTTGTTGCAACTGGAATTGCTGCTTCTGTTGTTCAGCATTAAGTTGCAATTCTTTTCTTCTGATTTCCAACTCTTCTTTCCTCAGTTCATTTTCACTTGTATTTTTTTGGACTAAATACTGAATAGGGTCAGCACAACTTCTTCTCTTTCTTTTTCTTGCAGGTTTAGGCTGCTCTCCCAGATTTTCATCACTATCTTCATCTTCCACTTGTTCCTCTTCAGCATGTTTGGCTGCATTTTTCCAAGTTGTCATAGCAATTTCTCTGGTAGCAAGTGCTTCTTTTCTCTTTATTTCTTCATTTTTGGAGTCAGCAACTGAATTCTTTATTGGAGTTGATTCCATCGTCTCAAGAATCTCTTCCAATATTTCTTCATTTTCAGTTGGTGGGTCTGAAGAAATACCGGAAGCTTTTTCTTCCATAGATCTCTTTTTCTTATAGTTTCCCATTAGCTTGTTGAATTGATCTCGAACACTGCGTTGATCTCGGGGATTGGTACAAAACAAATCAAAACAATTAAGATTATCAGCAACCAATGTCCATTTTTGCCCTGCCTCTTTGCTTCCAACCTTATATAGAAAAGGTTCAGACACAAAAACTTCTCGCAGAAGTAAAGTATTCTTCTCAGTGCTCCAGCGAAAGGGTCCTCTAAAACCAAGCGATATTTAGGTAAATATATATAAAAAGGCCTCATTCAATACCAAAGGTATAGTTGTAATTTTGCAAGGATTAATAAATTTAGAAGTAAGTGGAGTAAATCCTAATTAAATCAGATCATGTATAACAATGGCCTGATAATTAACCCATTTTCTGGCAGTACTATACCAACGATGTGTAAAATAGTCTGACCAAAGTAAGACACATTAGGCACATTGCAGGCTAATGGGTTAATTAGTGCTAACTTTAAATAAATTGCAGTTGAATCATAACTCAGTTATAGCCTGTTTAACTTGTCTTCCATATGTGTTCTTTTATGTTAATACATTTGTGTTAAATGAAAAAAATGGGCAATCTATTGCTATAAAAAATTTCAGAATTTAAATAATCCTGCATCCAAAAATATGGAAACAGTTTTAAAAATACAGGAAGAAGGGGAAGTGTTTGGCTAAAAGATTTTTGGACACATAGTATATATATAATATAGGTATATATGATATCATTTATCTGACAAGTATATATATAATAAGATATCATGCATCAATTATATAATATTAGCATACAATATATTATATATTAATACAAAATCACATGCAATTAAATAGCAATCCATTATTGCAAAAAATCAAATTTAGTATTTTAATATACTTACGTGCAATTGCTTAAAAGTTCACCTTGTCCATCAGGTTTTTCGCTAAAACATTTAAAAAGACACATTGTTTTATTTATCAACTATAGTTATATTTTCTTTATAAAATGTTCTGTTTTTAGCTCAAGCTCGCCTCAAGGACACTTTAATACTAATATAACTTTTAAAAGAAATAGTTTTTGACATCAGCTGCCAAAAAACATCAGAAAATTAAAACTTATGAACCTACAGACAACATACAAACGGTGACCAAAACAATCTACCTGTTTTTTTCCATGTTTCTTATAGGCTTTTGTAGCGTTAAAATTTCTGTCAATATAATATAAATCAATCTTAGACACAGGTGAACTTTGTTTTAGACAATATGTTTCAATGAAACACAGTTTAAACTAAAAAGATAAAACTATAAAGGAAAACTTACCTACGTACTCGTGACTACGAAAAAAACCTCGAAACCCGTCGTTGCGAGCGGGAACACGACGAACTACGCGAGCATGATTAGTCATGAGCATGCGCAATACACCTCGACCCGGTTTTCTCCCGTCCGCGCTCGTTGTTCGTTGTCCGTAGTCACCAATCTTAAAGTCGCTAATGTCCTTCATGATGAGTTCAAGGATGACATCAATGCCATATTTCTTGAGATGCTGACTGTTGATGATGGCTATGAGTTGTATAGCACTCAGACTAGATCGTTTCTCTGGTGAAATGTTCCCAAGGTTGTAGTAGAAATTGCCTGAATTATTATAAAGGTAAATACATTGTGTAAATATCTTGTGGAAATTTACATATTGTTCAATTTATGCATTATGTTTTTAAAAAGCCATCAATATCCCAAATTTTATGTCTAAAAATTACTGAGTGCACAAAATATTCTGTTAATTTAGACAGGCCCATGCATCTAAACAGCTTACCAATTTTATGAGTGTTTGCTCGGGATCCAAGGGGTTGCATACTTCCAGCTCATCAAAAAATAGGAATATTTGAAGAGCATGTCTATGATCAAAATAAATGTCTCAGTTCAAGTATATTGCATTTCTTAAGTTTGAGACAGATACGCATGCTGTGCATTAAAGGTTTACGTACCTGTCCCTGCTAAATAATGGATGTGTTTTAAATTCTTCACCATCACAGTAGTCCCCCAGTAAGCCATCATTACGGTTGTGTGGGTTGTCAATCTAAATATTTATTTTTATTGTTTGCATGGCATCAAATTAGAAAACAACAAATTGATAAACAAATTTAAACCTCTTCAACAACAGCATCATTTGTTAAGAGCTGTTGAATACTCTTTAAAATTGGGACGTAATATGCCTTGTCCTCTTTCTCAACATCCACAAGTTTGTTTCCCTTTCTGATTTTCTTGTGGTAGCGACCCATGACAACCTTTTTAGGCTCCTGTTTCATAATGTTAAGGATATGCATTTTAAAACCATCTTAAATGTTTTTCATCCAGAAAAGTGCCATGCAAACAATATGTTAAGGAAAGAGAAAAATGGGGTTAAAATCAATCTGGTATTTTAGGCACATTTTTAGCTAATGTACAAAGGTATTGTACAAATGTCAGAGATATGAGGCATATTTGATAATACCACACTTACCACCATTCCTAAATTTTTTTTGTAGTATTGTAGCTGAGAGTTTTCGTTCAGGCACTCCTCGAATGGTCTTCGGATGCTGCTGGATTCGCCAAAGAGTTCGGAAACTCCAGGGATATCTTCAAGCTGCAAACCAGCGTTCTTCAGACATTCTTGTACCCCGGAGTACAAAACGTCAACACTATTTTGAACCACCTGGGTGGTACTACAAACCATCGAATCTACCACGGTCTGAGGAACCTTTGCTTCGTCTTTGATCTTAAGGAGCCCGAGGACATTTGAACGCCTACATTGGGCCACCTCAAGTTCAAAATTAAAGCCGTCGTCGTCGCCATCGTTGCCATCTCCGCCATTGTTATTGTCCTCATCATCTCCGGGATGGTTGGGTTGTTCGTCCTGCTGTACCCTAACTCTTTCCCTCTCAAGGATAGCGGAATGCTTCTGAGCGAAGTGGCTTTTCAACGTGTGAAAATTTTTGTATGTCCTTGGACATCCATCGATTCCGCATAGAACATGGAAACTGCGGTCGTTTTGGTGAACACGTCCGAGATGTGATATCAAACCACGAAGAGTTTCTGATGTATGCTGGACACACAAGTTACAACGGTAGACCATGTTTGAACTTTTGCTTGAACTTTTTGAGTTTTTGCCTGGACCACAGCACAGAGGAGCCACAACACAGTGACCACTGTGATCTTGACCTTGACGTCGTAAGTTGAACTTGACCTTAAACAATTCCCTATGGCTGTGCTATGGGTAGGGTAGACCAGGATATGGAAAATTCTTTGTAAATATTTAGGACACATAGTAGAGCTTATGCGAAAGGATTTTTTCTAACATTAATTATAAACTTTTTTTACTTCTATATAACAAATGTTGTCGATATAGGCACTTAATGATAGTCTAGCTAATCAAAAAAACATTAGTCCTGTGGTTATGTACCTCGGTAAAAATTTGCATGTCACGTGATCTACCACAAGCGCGTCTTCGTCTTTCTTTCTCACTTGTTTTTCGACAGTGCAGATCTAAAACTTTGAAAGCCGTTCAAAAAGCTTATTTTTCCACGCAATGGAACAACAATTGTTAGAGGCATTAACCAGTAAAGGTGTCAAAGACGAAACCATACAAATTCTGGTGTCTGATGAGGTAATTAAAATGCTTTTAACTTGATTTTTCCGTGGTTATATGTTTCCCGCCTCAGCCATATAATTTGAGTTTTCAAACAAACACGATGCTGTAGGTCATGTTTAAGGTGCTGCGTGGTGCCAAAACAGGGTCTGGTACATTTCCTGATGTTCATTAAGATTTAATTAGTGGTACCTATACCTATAGCTACAAGACCAGGACACATGTTCACGATATTTTATGTTTCACGTCTCACTTTGTAATTGGTATGAACTTAGTCCTTCTTGGTTGGTAGAGTGCGTATGCCATTGTCCAGTAAAATAAATTTTGGAGAGGAATTTCGCATTGGAAAATGTTATATAATCATATTATTGAATGCTTGGTGAAAATCCAGTACAAAGAGAGTAACTTCCCCAAATCTATTCGAAAAAAGACAAGAAGCCTTTTGCAAGTTACGTAAAGACGAATTTTTGCTGGTTGGAATCTGACTAGCCTCGATTCCGCGTAACTCGCAAAATGCCTTCTCTTGTCCCAGTAATAATATGAGAGAAGAACATAAAAACGAGACCATGGTTAAAATCTTTTTGCAAGTGAGATTCAATCATAAATTCTAACCAGAAGTGACCAAAAATTCGTTTTATCATCCTTCAGTAACTGGAGTTTGAGCTCAGGGGCTAGCGCTAATACAACTTTTCAAGCGTTATAACCGATGTCTTTAGTAATTTATTGCATTTCCTTAATACGTCTTTCTCATAATTGTATCTAATGTAGATGACCCCACAACCAGGTAAAGAATTTAAAACGTCGTAAATGAAATGTATTTGAATTGTTTTCTGGTTGTGACGTCATCCAAATCATAACATCTCACAATTGTATGATATTCAAGATAGCGGAATGTTCCAAGTTTACTGCCTAATTTCAGTTGAGCCTTTTTATTGACTCTCGTATGATTAGAATGCATTTAGAGTTGCGAAATGGTTCGCTTTAGGTAAAATCTGTCAAATTTCTCGTTTTAACTATAACAGGCATTAGATTCCTTCACTTTTCAGGTATGGCTGTTGTTAATTATATCAAATGTCAGTAATTGAGTGTAAAAAAATACATCGAGGAAAACACCTTTTATCGTATGCCGGTATGCTAAAATTTTAGAAATGTAACAAGGGGGGGGCAAAGGGGGGCGGTCGCCCCCCCAATGGTCTTAAAACCGTTCTCATGAAATGCTTAAATCCAGCGGAATACGAGGAGGTAAGCTTAGTTAGGTAAGCAACGAGTAATCAGTAAATCTAAAGAGATTTTCAAGTGTATTGTTTGTTGATCTAAATAAATGTAATAATGACAGAATTTTGTGATTTGTAACCCAACGATTACTTTTAAAAGCTCGTATCAGAATGCGGGAAATGGCGTTTCCAAGCCTCAGAAGTGAGCTGTCATGCTAGTGAGCGTGTAGTGAACTGGGGCAAAAGCTAGACAATGGCGACAAATTTGACAATTTATGTATAGGTATAGGGAAAAAACAGGCAAAATGTCGCACAAAGACAAGTATGCGTTCAGAACAACATTCAGGGAATCATCTGTCGTGATTTTATCAATCGGTCAAGTAAATTTTCAGTCACGGCATTTCATTAAAAGTATATCAATAATAGTCTTAATACAACACTGATACTGATTGAAACACAGTGTAAAGTACCCATGTCATAAAATTGGAATTCATATAATTAGAATCGCCGTTGAAACATAGATTACGAAAGTAGTAATCACATTTAAATTGAGTTTGTATTCGCGGAGAAAATGAAATAAAGCGCTAAAGTTAGAAAATTTCAAATTGTAACGGCAAAAGTTTTTGTGGGAAACTGGTAACTAATACGTAACAATAGGAACTCGCATATTGCGCCTTCAGATAAATAATATATATGTATGTCAGTACAAGAGAAGTGATTTCATGCCGGATTAAATGACGCATGCCTGTGTGATTCTCTAGTTTATTTTCATTGCATATTCGCATTTCATTGCAAGTCAAAGTAAGCTAGAGTACGCAGTCTTTATCTGTCTTTACTAAAATGCGCGCTTTTGTTCGCAGTGGCCACTTTGTTTTGTTCGGTTTAATGTTATCTGATATGTTTAATGAACTGATACATAAATACGAGTTGCATCAAACTGCATACTACGAAAAAAGCTATTCGAAAAGGCCTTTTTTGGGAGTTACGCCAAAACGAGACTACTTTCTTCTACCGAAATTTACTTGGGGGTGTTTGAAGTGACATATACACTTATATATATCGCTATACTTTTAGTTGGACACAGTTGACATTCTACAGGACACGAGCGACGAGCTTCTAAAAGCTTGCAACATAACAGGAGGCCAGATCGTCCGAATTAAAAAAGCGTTACGTGCGTTGGCATCGGTAACACCATCCGAAGTCGAGTCACAACCGCCGGAGTTTCAGGCTGACGACCGGAGGAGTGATGTCGTCATTCAAATGGTAAGCGACTTCTCCGAGATGCAGCAGATAACCATCGATGCTGAAGTAATGCCGGAGATACCGAAGATTCTAACAACAACTGATGAAAATTCGCCGCTAACCAGTGACACTTCGCCCCCTGTCGCCTTCACAATGGAAGACTTTACGCCCGACAATAAGTGGCTTTCTTCCTTTGAGTTACCAAAGAAGGTATACAAATGACTATTACATACAATTTATACAAATCAGATCATTTCCACAGAAAATGCGGATATTGTGTCCTGGATACAATGCAGCTATATGGGTCAAAATCATTTCCAAGGCAATAGTATTCTAATTAGACACTTTAACGATGAAACATATCGCCGCTATGGTAACAATTTTAAGAAATAGCCCCAAAATGGCGAAATATTCGCCATGGCGAGAAGTCTAATTACGGTATTTTTAAAAATGGATCCGCCACACAATGGTATATATATATTAAGAAAATTTAATTTACTCGTGAGAAGCATTACACGATGATATAAAAAACTGATATCATTTCATATCTCATATATACGTATCGTGAGTCCGACTTCACGTGATTCTTTTTGATTCAACATTTTGTTTAATATTACTTTAATTTTCTCCTGGGGTAGCCGAAGCACTGGAAAGTAAAAATTTGACAGGTTCAATTCGGGACGAGTTCAATCGTGATATATGCGACCTAATAAAAGTCCACACTATGTTCCCGAAGAAGCATGAAAGGGAATACGTCGCATTTAAAATCATAACAACCTACCCTTTCTTGCTGACAAGATTGGTTGTGGAACGGTAGGTTCAGTAATACTTTCCTTCTTGCGTCATAGAGGAAGCATACTCGATCTATATTGGCGAAAAAAGTAAACAGCTATACCCAAATTTTAAATTCCTCATTGATTCTCATACCAACGCATGATTGACTAAATAATGCTGCAGCTTTTAACATTCTTACCAATCGTTCGCAATGTTTATATATATAGGCATCTTGGGAACAATCGATCAAAAATCGATTCAAGAATAGGAGGCGGCTTATTCGCAAAAGGAATATGGTACCAGGGTCGTCTTCTTCAGAATCTCTCTCTAGAAGTGCGCCTATTAAGAAAAAGAAAAATATTGTGGTTGATTGTGATGCGGAAAATGAAGAAATCATACGGGAACACGCAAACCAACTGAAAAAGGAAATGGCCAAATCCCGCAATAAAAACATGGCCCTAATAAGGGAGTTGATGGACGCCACCTACCAGTCGCGGAGACAGACCGTCCTAAAAAGTCCAACAACTTTAGCAGTGTTGTTGGAACAATATCCTGCTTTAAGGATGGTATCCGAGGTATGTAAAGTTTTAGGACTTCCATGCATGTATGGATACTCCAATGCAATGGTATTCCCCAAAGATATTCCCTGCGATTAATTACTGATGCACTTAAAAAACACATTTTCTAGCTTCACCAATTCAGTCTTCGAAAGTTGATATCTTCTTTCGGACTTCTGTCTAGCGTTCCTCGGAGCTTGCAACTTCGACTAAAACATTCGATATGCAACGTCATACCTGCTTAATAATTATACTTCATTGATCTAGATAAAAGCAGAATTTGAAAGGGTGGAAGAATCTGGGGTATGCAGGAAGATGACAGCAGCCTACAAAACAACGTTAGTAAACAACGTCATCAGCCTTGCCTACTCCAAGAAATCATCCAAAAAAGTATTGTCAACCATTAATAGAATGGAGCAGCTCATAGGAGAAGAGCAAGAGAAAAAGTCTGGTAAGTCTGGTGCTCAGATTTTCGGACAAATTTTCGCTGCCGCGCGTTTTAATTTTGACTTATACATGCACTCAC